AAAGAGTGACAAGGATCCTGTGGATTGGGATGGTTGTTCCTAGCCCTGGCTCCTGTAGAACTTTCCCATCCAGCTTTGGAAGCAGCCAGCTGAATCTCCACACTCCCTGCAGGGGTAAGACCCTCAGCTTCCTGCCCTGAGAGGGGAGAATCTCTTCGGACAAGCCACCCGGGGCTCCCAGGCTGGGATGGTGGAGGTGGCCCTGTGTGCTTTTGGTTGGGAAGGACAGCACTGCACGAGGAGACAGGCAGAGCAGTCCCCAGAGCCCTTAATTTCCCTCCAGCAGGACCAAACTTTGAAGCAAGGTGACCCATCTGTGTGGCCATGTGTGCCCCGGCCAGCCGAGGTGGCAGGCTCCATCTTTCCAGAGGTAGGCGGGGCAGGTAGGAATTGCCTTCTTTGGGAAGACATGGTGGGCTGGCCAGCCACTGCTCAGGGAAAAAGTAATTCAAGCTGCAGGGCTGGCAAAGCAGAAGGTTGGGGAAGGGCAGGGAGTGAGGGCATGAGCACCACTGCTGCTGGGCACGTGTCAGGGGTGTCCCAAGAAAGGCATCTCCGGGACCCCGGCCCACTGCCAATGCTCTCCCCTGCCCAGGGGAGGCACTGTCTGGGGGGGGAGGGGGCAGAACCCAACTTCTGGGTTTTTTTGTGATGTAAATAGAAATAAATACTTTATAAATATAATCTTAAACTACTGACACCTGATCTAACCCTGCCATCTCTTGCAGAAACATCCATAAACTAGGAAAATCTCCGTTACACAAACTACCACTTTCCCTTTGCACAGAGGCAATTCCTACTGCTCTCCCACCTCCGAGCTTCACCACACTCCCACCTCTGTAGATCAAAAGACCAGCTTTCAGCCAAAACTCCCCTCCTCACTCCCTCCTCTCCAACAGGGACCTTTCTGGAGCGACATGATGGTCACCCATGGGGGATGGGGGGTGGGCAGAAGATGACATGCGCACAAGAAATTCTGCCCAGGCAGGTCCAGGCTTTTGCAGCTATGAATGGAAGTGAGTTTCCCCTGTGAAGGTGTGAATCGAGACAGATCCTTCCATGGAGCAGACAGCTGGGGCAGCAGACGGTGTGAGAGATCAGATGTTAACATGGGAGTCTTGAAGACAGAATCAGCTATCTTGATCCTGTTGGCAGACGGATGAGGTGGAGGGTGTTTTTTCAGGTTAGATTCTCATCTGGGCTGTTCTCCTTCTGGACAGCTTGGATCTGATTCAGAAAAGAAGGGACAAAAGGTGTCAGACAAGTGGACAAGTCTGGTGCCCCTGGCTTCAGGATCCTGGCTCTAGGCTGGTGCTTGAATCCAGGCAGAGCTGGAGGGACAGGATTAACATCTCCTTAGCCAGAGCACACAAATTTCTGTGCCTTGACTACTGGTTCTCCTAGTCCTGCCACTTGAGATGCTCTCAGGAACAGTGAAGGGCCAGCACCCCTGCTGCCAGGCATGGATGTTGCTTTGAAGTCAGCACAAGACCTCTGTTCCAGCCTGCATCTGGTCCTGGATTGAAGCATTTTTGCTGGCCAAGAGCCTGTGCAGGAGGTGCTCCTCATGCCTGGCCTGGGGATGCTGCAGCAGGGAGAGCACTGAGAGCAGGGCAGGAATCACAGAACTACCTTGCACCTTAAAGATGACTGAGTCCAACAATCAACCTAACACTGACAAGTCCTGAACTAAACCATATCCCTAATTACTATGTCTGTACAACTCTAAAATCCCTCCAGGGATGGTCACTCCACCACTGCCCTGGGCAGCCTGTTCCAGTGCCTGACAACCCTTTCAGTGCAGAAATTCTTCCTGACATCCAATCACACAAACTACCACTTTCCCTTTACACAGAGGCAATTCCTACTGCTTTCCCACCTCCGAGCTTCACCACACTCCCACCTCTGTAGATCAAAAGACCAGCTTTCAGCCAAAACTCCCCTCCTCACTCCCTCCTCTCCAACAGGGACCTTTCTGGAGCGACATGACGGTCACCCATGGGGGATGGGGAGTGGGCAGAAGATGACATGCGCACAAGAAATTCTGCCCAGGCAGGTCCAGGCTTTTGCAGCTATGAATGGAAGTGAGTTTCCCCTGTGAAGGTGTGAATCGAGACAGATCCTTCCATGGAGCAGACAGCTGGGGCAGCAGACGGTGTGAGAGATCAGATGTTAACATGGGAGTCTTGAAGACAGAATCAGCTATCTTGATCCTGTTGGCAGACGGATGAGGTGGAGGGTGTTTTTTCAGGTTAGATTCTCATCTGGGCTGTTCTCCTTCTGGACAGCTTGGATCTGATTCAGAAAAGAAGGGACAAAAGGTGTTAGACAAGTGGACAAGTCTGGTGCCCCTGGCTTCAGGATCCTGGCTCTAGGCTGGTGCTTGAATCCAGGCAGAGCTGGAGGGACAGGATTAACATCTCCTTAGCCAGAGCACACAAATTTCTGTGCCTTGACTACTGGTTCTCCTAGTCCTACCACTTGAGATGCTCTCAGGAACAGTGAAGGGCCAGCACCCCTGCTGCCAGGCATGGATGTTGCTTTGAAGTCAGGACAAGACATCTGTTCCAGCCTGCATCTGGTCCTGGATTGAAGCATTTTTGCTGGCCAAGAGCCTGTGCAGGAGGTGCTCCTCATGCCTGGCCTGGGGATGCTGCAGCAGGGAGAGCACTGAGAGCAGGGCAGGAATCACAGAACTACCTTGCACCTTAAAGATGACTGAGTCCAACAATCAACCTAACACTGACAAGTCCTGAACTAAACCATATCCCTAATTACTATGTCTGTACAACTCTAAAATCCCTCCAGGGATGGTCACTCCACCACTGCCCTGGGCAGCCTGTTCCAGTGCCTGACAACCCTTTCAGTGCAGAAATTCTTCCTGACATCCAATCTAAACCTCCCCTGGCACAACGTGAGGCCATTACCTCTTGTCCCCGACCCCCACCCATGGCTTCCCTGCACCCCTCTCCCCGCAGCTGCCCCCAGTACCTTATAGACCCAGCCAGGAGAGGGTTGAAGGCGTAGAGCCAGTCGTGCATGTCCTTGTCACTGCTCGCCTGCAGCAGGATGCCCCGGTGCTCCGTACACACCGCAAACGTGTTCGGGGTCTGCTGGGGGAGAGCTGGGGTTGAGTCCCTTGCCCGAGGGGCTGTGCAGAGTGGGGCTGGATCCCACTGCCCTACCTTGAGCATGGCCTGCTGGTCCTCGCTGTACTCCACCTGGGCCTTGGAGAGGTTGAGTATGGCCCTCTCAACCGCGTCCTTGTCCGAGTTGTAGATGTAGACGTAGGGGCGCCGCACCACCACGAAGCGCTTCACCCACCCGTTGGTGTGGGGCTCCAGGAAGTGCAAGTAGCCCTTTTTGGAGACGATGGGGCTGCAGAAGGCACCAAGGTCAGGGTGGGACACAGACCGTGAGGGAGTGCACAGTTCCCCCAGCCCCAAGGTGCTCCCCTGGCTGGCTGCCCCAGACACTCTTACCTGACCCGGATCTCCTGGATGTCAGGCACCAGCAAACGCTGGGGCTCCTTCTCCTCCTCAGGCCGGCAGGCTGGGGACTTCTTTTGCTCTCCTTCTGCCACAGGTTCAAGGTCAGGGCTGTCCACCCTGGACGAGACCTGGTGGGGCCTGAGGAGAGAAGAGAGGCCAGGGTGTAGGAAGAGTGATGGCTGAGGAAGACCCATCAACCAGGACAGCATCCCAGTGGTACCTGTGCCCTGCCCTCACCAGAACCTCCCAGCCATCTGCTTACCTGACCTCCATAGCATTGTAGCATCCTTCCACCAATGAAGGGCAAGTTGAGGAGGGGGTGAGAGTGGTGACCCCGAGAGCTGGCATGGAGGGGTCTCTCATTAGGGTCACGGACATTTCAGACAGCTGTGGAGGAGCAGAGGTGTGGATGTGAGTCTCTGCCCAAAGCCAGGTCCAGAGAAAGGACCAGGTGTCTGCCCATGTAGGGAGAGCCAAGACTTCCAGTGGGATGGGTCCTCTCCTGCCACAGTCCCAAGAGCCATCAGCTCCAGGAACATCAGGGTGAGTGGAGGGAGCAGGGACCCAGGAGCAGAGACCACTCACACCATGGTGCCCACCTGGTCCCTGCCCAGCCAGTACCCCCCAGCCATGCCCCCCCTGTCCCCCAGCCCAGCTGTGCCCAGGGCAGCAGCAGTACCTTGCTCTCGCTGGCACTAATGCAGACGTGGCTGTGGCTGTACTCCCTGTTGAAGGTGTGCGTGAGCAGGCGCAAGCACTGCAGAGAGAGGAGGAGGATGGTGGGGCACGAGGCACCTTCCTCCACCCTCCTCCTCCCACTCCTCTGGGGCTTCCTCCAGCCACAACCCCCTGCTGCCCTTTCCCAGCTTCCCCCCGCAGGCTGGGGATGCTGCAGGATGGTACCTTCACAGCCAGCTCCTTCTGCCTCTCGCTTGGGGTCTCGGGGGGAGAGGTGCGGCCCTCGGGGCCCCCGTCGACAGAGAGCGGGGAGGAGACACAGGAGGTGCTTCGGGACTCGGAGTCCTCACTGGAGCAGGGGAACAGGGTCTCCAGGCCCAGGCGCTGGGTTGTCTCCAGCTTCTCGCGCAGGAGCAGATAGTGCCTTGTCTTCTCCACCTGGGTGCAGGCAGCCAGGTTCAGGGGCAGCCCCCTTCGCCCCGCTGGCATCCTTTTGAGGACCATGCTTCCCAGGCCCCATTAACCCCCTCTGCACATGAGCTTCAGGTCTGCTGGGACCTGGCTGGCAGCCAACCCCACCTCCTCCTGCAGCCAGAAGGGCTGAGACACCCGGGGTGGGGAATCCCACAGGCACTGGCAGGGCAAGGGGCTGAGCTCCGAGTTGCACCCTCTCGGCCTGACCCATTTCCAGCCCAGACTCTTACTTCTTGCAGGAGGCTGAGTTTATCCAGCTCCCACTGGTGGTCGAGGATAAGGCTGTCGCTGCGGGGCCTCCAGCCAGCCAGGTTCTCCTCTCCCCGCACGTAGGCTACGGAGGTGTCCAGCACGCGCCGGCGCCGTCTCTGCATCCCTACAGGGACACAGGCACAGCTGGGGGGACACAGGCACAGCCCCAAACTCAACCCCCCCAGCCCCCCAGCTTCGCTGTGAACACCTGGGCAGGGGACCAGCACCCACCTGGGCTGCCAGCATCGGCCACGCGGCAGAGGCTGAGCTCATAGACTCCTGTCACACGGTTGCTGGAAGCAAGGGGAGATGAGGAGGCATTACTGGCTCTGCCTCATCCCCTGGTTATTTTGCCCAGGCTGCTGGGATGCCCCAGGAAGGCTCCATGCCCTAGGTGATGGTTCTCCTCCCCCATAAAGGCAGGAGCACCCCCAGTACCTCTCAGAAGCCCGCAGGCTGCCACTGCCAAAAAGGTTGCGGATGGAGCGGGAGGCAGGAAGCTTGGCATCCCGGGAGTAGAAAACCATGCAGAAGTCTTTGGTGATGACAGCAGGCTGCGTGCAGTTCTCCATCTGCAGTGGGGCAGGGGAGGAGGTGTCAGGGGGGCTGCAGCTTGGCAGCACTCTCCCACCCCTAGTGCCCAGTGCTTTCCACTGCCAGGATCCCACAGGACCCCCGAGCACCAGGTTGAATCCTGCATCCCAGCAGCATCAGTGCTGGCTAAGGAAGGGTTCACACTGGCTGCACCAGTGCGAAAATACCAGGCTTTGGTGGCACTAAAATGGCCCCGACTAAAGTCCTTGCCTCGATGTAGGCGGAAAGAGTTTTTTTCTCCCGGTAGGGGGTGACCCGGTTGAGCAGCAGCGAGTTGTGCATGGAGCTGTCCCACGCCGCCTCAAACTGGTAGAAGGTCCTGCAGGAAAAAAAAAAAAATAGCAGAGCCGGTAAAACAACCCCCCGGGAGCCCAGGCAGGCAAGCAAGGAGATGCCAAACCTCCCTCCCCACAGTGCTGCCGCAGGCCTGCGAGGACACACGGACATGCACGTGCTGGGGGGCAGGGGGGCCCAGCCACTCCAGAAGACGCAGGCTCAAGGCAGAAGGGGGCAAGGTGTGGCAGGAGGGGGACATGCCGCCCTTGAAACGGCCAATGGACTGGGGTTTTGGGGAGGAGGAACTGCAGGAGGAGTGGGGGCTCAGCTGGGGTGCAGGCAAGGCAGGGCAGGCTGGGAAGGCAAAGGAGGGGGAAAGGAGGTGCATGCCACACCCCTGTGCTTGGAGTGAGGGGCTGCCACCCCAAGCACGCCTGGGCCAGGTCCCCACCATCCAGCTTGGGGCATGTAGCACCTTGCAGCCCTGCCGAGAGCAGCTGTCACCATTTGGGTGACAATGGCCAGAAGGGAAAGGAGGGAGGATGCTCAGCACTCAGGGGGTTGCTGCCAGCCCAGCCCTGGGAGAGCAGCCTCCCTGCCAGCCAGGTCCCCTTCGCCAGGGCTGCTCCTGTCTGACAGTCCCAAGCCCCAGCCCCACCACCATTTAGTGGCTGGCTCCCACAGCTCTTGCTATACCCTGATCACCAGCCCCATCCATCCCCATTCCCACCGGGCTGCCTCATTCATCCCTTGCTTGTTTTCCATGGCTCCCAGGTTGGGAAAAGGAGCGGGGAACACCCAGCCCCACTTGCCTGGTGCTTATGGGGTCCTGCAGAGGATGGCGCTGCCATCCAGAGCAAGAGTGGCCACTGCCCTCTTCAAGTCAAGCCACTGAGGGTGGGGGATGCAGGAGGCAGCTCCGGTTTGAGAGCACAGGGGCCCCTGTTTCACCTCCTGCACTGTTCCTGGGCTCATGCCTGGGCCAGCCAGGGGACACCCCCTTCCAGGGGACACCCCCTCCCCAAAGCCACTCAGAGCTGCAGCAGCCCCAGCTCCCGCCTGAGCACCCTTAGGACGCCGTGGCTCAATGAGGACAATTTGGCACGTCCCCAAAGCAGCATCCAGGTGGCTGAGTGGCTCGTTTAATGAGAGCCAGGGTGGCCAAGAGGGACCAGGGGGAGGCTCTCATCTGTGATTGTCCTCGTGTGGGAAGAAGAGGGAGAGTGACGCTTTCAAACGGTGTATAAAATACATGGAACAACCCCGCGTGAGACAGAGCCAAGGCGAAGGATCGCTTTGCAGACACAGGTCGCTTGAGAAGAGATTGCTCCCCAGGGAGGAGGAGAAAAGGAGCCTCAGGGGAGGGGGCAGAGAGCAAAAAGCAAAGGGAGGAGGCAAAGGAGAAAGAGAGAAAAGCAGGAGGGACCAGACCGAGCGGGTGCACGCGAAATACCTAGTGTCATTTCCGAACGAAATGCTATACGTGAAAGGCGACCCAAGGACAAACATACACACGTACACACACAGAAAAATGAAAGGTCAGAAAGCATCGTCCACTGGGGGCTGGTGCAGGAGCAGGGCCCTGAAGGGACTTGCCCCATGTTGGCATTGCTGGCTGAAGGAGCTCCTGCCTTGCTGGACCCTGATCAGAGCCCAGAAGGAGCTCAGTGAGGGAAGACAGAGGTTTATATGCTTGGGCAAAAACCTTCTGCCTCCCACCTTTCTCACAGTCCAGCAGCTGGGAAGCAAGCACATGTGTGCTCCCTATCCCCTTAACTCTGCCCTTGACTGCCATCCCAGGGCAAGGAGCTCCCACCCAACACAGACCTCCATGAAAGTGCCCATCCAGGGGGAACCAACCAGCCTACTGCCACCCAGACAGCAGGTGATGATTGCTTGGCCTGTCCTCTGGTCCACAGGGACAGCATCACTGTGTTGAGGGCCCACAGGCAATGCCAGCATGAACCCATGTGCTGTATCTGTCCCCTTGTCCCCTGGGAACAGCTGGAGGGACAGCTCTCCTGTCAGGCCTCTCCAAGCAGGACCAGATCCTAGCTGCTGTAGGGAGGACAGTCTCCCAGGCATAAAGTTACCAAGCCCACCAGGGCTCAGAAGACCCCATTCCCTGTCTCCCAGACACAACCCCTTCTTCTTCCACCCCAGGGCACAGTAGCAGGGTGCCCCTCCTCTGGGACCTTGCAACGTTCCCATCCAGAGGCTGCTGGCAGCATCTGGGTCTGGCAGCTCTTACCAAGGCACGGCATGCCAGGTTTACCCTGTGGTCCCAGCTGAACTCCCAGCTGTCCCCAAACAGCTGCTGGTTTACACAGGGGCACAACAGCCTGTGCCACACACAGGTGTGTGCACCCACTGTCACACCCGCACCCAGACATGGTCTGCATCAGCCCCACGGCTACTCCAAACGGCGCCAGGGGCCAGGCTGGGGGCGATGGTGGGGGCGGCACGCCCGGCACAGGGGGCCGGAGAGGTGGGAGAGCAGCGGAGTCAAAAAGCAAGAAGAAAACCCAACTCAGGCAAGGGGGACGCAGGCGTGCGAGGGGGAGCGGCAGGCAGCGAGAGCGCGGCCCGGATGAACAGCAGAAGTGTCTGAGTGAGCCAGAAGTGCCAGGGCGGGAGGGAGAAGGGATGGGATGTGTGGAGGGATGGGGGGGCTGGATGTCTAAGTGCTGCCTCCGGTAGGAGTGAGCGTGCCGAGGCCAGGGCGGGAGAAAAGAAAGAAGGGTGAGAAGAAAGGGGGAGGGTGGTGGAAAAAAAACCAATGGAAACAAATAATACCTAGGCATATCCGAATCAAGAAACTGCCTGCAAAAACACAAAACAATCACATGGTTAGTGTGGGCTCGGATGGGTGGCAGCAGTGGAGAGAAGCAAGGAGGGACCCTGGGCACTGCCCCCCACGCCTTCTTCGCTGGTTGCTCGATGCAGGGATCAGTGGGTGCTGGGGAGGGAGCTGTACTGCTTCCCTGGTCTCCTCCTGAGCGGCTCCGGGGGGCTGTGGAGGCTGCAGAGGGAGCCAGGGCTCTCGGGGCAATGGAGGCTGCAGGCTGTAAGGCAGCAAAGCAGGAGCAGAAGCAGCCGGGGAGGAGGTGAAGGGGCCCTGGCTCTGCCCGCCCAAAGCAGATCTGCAGGGGCTGGGGGGAGGGACTGCGACCTCAGTATCCCACGGCAAGCTGGCCACCCCCTCCTCCCCCTGCCCGGCCCTGGGCAGGCTCGATGGGATGGATTTGGGACCGGCAAGGTATGCATGGCAGCCCACGGCCCCAGTTCGGAGCTGGCCCCGAGGCGCAGACCCTCTGAGCGCGCAGGTGGGGTAGGCTCTGGCAAAATAAGCCCCCCAACTCCCTGCTTCTCTCCCCATGCCC